GAACGCGTCGATTTGGATGCTTTGCAAACTCCAGCACTTCGCGAAACAGGAACAGGTCCTCGCTCCAGTCCGGTGGCCGCTGCTCCCACTCCCCCTGCAGATCGTCCACTTCGCGCTCGCTCTTGTCCGGGAACACAGCCCTGAGCTGAGCGAGAATGTGAGCGTTGAGGTCGACGTTGTCGGCCAGGCGGCGCAGTTGCTCGGGGCCAAACAGCTTGCCAAAGCAAGTCCAACCGTTGTCGTTTTTCTGGAGCGGGTCGCAGCCGTGGTCGATGAGGATGTTCATGACGTCGCGTGCCTCCACGGCGCCGGCATAGTGGGCGGCCGTGTTGCCGTCATCCGTGATGGCATCGGGCGTGCACCCGCTCTCAATCAGCAGCTCCACCATCTCCATGTTGCGGTTCTGCGCAGCATAGTGCAGAGGTGTAAGGCCTGCAAAGACCGCAAGTCAAGTGGGCAAGCCAGTGAGCAAGCATGTTGTATGATGTCATGATACATGGAAGAGCAAGACAACGCGTCAAGAGAGCTAAGGTCGATATCTGAGGGCAGTGAGGCGGGGGGGGGGAAGGTGTTGATTTGGTTCGATCCGTCACTGGGTGTGCTAGAGTGCAGCCCCACGACCAATTGCAACGGGGGGGGGGCAGGCAGCAAGAAGATGACTGAGCTCGTACCGACGGAGGTTCGGATGTCCATGCGTTCGCGCGGCATGCGTGCAATGAGCGTTTTGGCCGTCTCCGTGAGGATCTGGCCGGGGGCCAGCTCGCTGTTCCCACGCATCACCTCGTGCAGCGGGCAGAGACCGCCTTTCTTGGCGGGGATGGTCTGATCCGCACCGGCATCGAGCAGGCATTTCACCAGCTGACGTGTGTGTGGGTTGTTGTCGTTGAGAAACATGTTGAGAAACATGATTCGTGTCGGACATGTGCATGTGGCATGTGAGAAGGCACAGGCAATATTTGTCCCTTGTATGTGTATGTGTGTGTGTGTGTTTGTGCGTGTGTGTTTGTGTGTATGTGTGAAGCAAAGGGTGTCGTACAGGATAAACAGCAATCCACATACCAGCCCACATACCAGGGACAAGCATGTGCAGGCCGGTGTCTGCACCCACAGTCAGTGCGTGCTGCGCACCTCGTTTGCTTCGTCATCGTTTGGCCAGGTTGACACAACCAGGCGGAGCGGGGTCCAACCATACCTGTTGGCTTGGTTGACCTTGTCCTTGTTTGCCGCGATGATTTTCTTTACATCCTCAACAGGCCGCTTGTCCTCCAGCGCTTGCAGGATCACCGACATGGCACTGAATGATGTGGGCGTACGGACCGGCTTTGGAGATGAGGTTGGCGTGGAAGCAACAGAAGAAGCAAAGCAGCAGGGCGAGGAGGAGGAGGAAGAAGAAGAAGGAGGAGGAAGAAGGACCTTGTGATGCCATGTCACAAGAGCCCACTGCTTCTACTTGCATCGTCTCATTGTGAGAGGAGGAAAGCGCACCTGCAAAAGTTGGGGGGTCGGTCGGCGTTGGACAGAAGCAGAAGAAGAAGAAGAAGGGTGTTTGGGGTTTATGGCCATCATCACCGGCTGGCGGCGCTGTCCTTGCTTCATTTGCAATTTGCAACGCATTGCACGTGTGTTTTTGCAAAGCAGCCAGGAAGACAAGCAAGCAAGACAGGCAAGACGACAAGCAAAGCAAGACCAAGCAAGCTGTGAAGCCGAGTAGAAGCCACGAGTGAAGGCAAAGATGGCGGGCGGGGACGCTGAGGTTGAGGATGTGACGCTGGCTGTGGTTGAGCTGGTGGTGTTCATGGTGCTGTTGGTGCTTGTGTTGATGCACCTGGTGAAGCGAAGAGGAAGGCGGGCCGTCGCACCGTCAGCAAAGGCAGCAAGAGCAGCAGCAGTAGCAGGCACGGCAACAGGTGGCAGCGCAGAAGCACAGGCGCAGCTGCAAGCGGCAATCACACGTGCCTTTGCCAACGCTGGCAAGCGGGATGGCAAGGTTGAGCTGCGTGTGCAGGTGGCCAGGCTACCTGCTCTGGATAAGAACTACGAGGATGTTGTGGAACTCACGCTGCCCATGGCCAGCTCCGACATGGACTTGGCTCCGCTGCGGCGGCTGCCAAACTTGACAAGCTTGACCCTCACTGGCCCGCCGCTGCGCTTGGAGCACCTGCAAGTGGTGCGGTCGCTGCCAAACCTCCGCCGCCTCCACCTCGGCGGCTCCCGTGTTGTTGTTGACGCCAACAACAGCATCACAGGCTTTTGCAAACCGAAGGTTGGACGTAGCGGGCGGGGGTGTATGTGAATGTGAATGTGTGAGTGTGAGTGTGTGTATGTGAGTGTGAGTGCACTTGTGCGTGAGTGCACTTGTGCGTGAGTGTGCGTGAGTGCGTGTGGGTGTGAGCGCGCGCGTGTGTGTGTGCATGCACATTTGTGTGAGTGCGTGTGAGTGTGAGTTCGTGTATGTGCATGCACATTTGTGTGAGTGTGTGCGCGCGCGTGCAGATGTGTTGTATGTGCACACGATTGTGTGCCATTGCTTGAGGTCTTGTGGTACATGTGCCTGTTCCTGTGCATGAACCTTGCATTGCGCTGTCGGATTGAACAGGCACACCAACCGCCCACTGCGTGCTGTGTCTGGGCACTGTTCCGTCATCACCGGTTGCGCGTGCTGGTGGCTGTGACCGCCATCTCACCCTGCCACTCTCTATGGGTTGCTTCGCCTGCAGGATGTGTTTGAGTTTGCACGCTCGATGCGCGGCAGGCTTGACGTGCTCGAGCTCCCGGACAAGGCGGCATATGAGGTTGCGCGTGTGGTGAAGGTGTTCAAGAAGGCCATGGTTGTCGTTGTCGCCGTGTCGCACTCGCTCGCCATATCGGACCGCGTCTACTTCAACCGCACCACCCAGCAGTTTGCCGCGTACGTGTGTGTGTGTGTGTGTGTGTGTGTGTGTGTGTGTGTGTGTGTGTGTGTGTGTGTGTGTGTGTGTGTGTGTGTGTGTGTGTGTGTGTGTGTGTGTGTGTGTGTGTGTGTGTGTGTGTGTGTGTGTGTGTGTGTCAGCGAACATGCTCGATGGTCCACGCCAACGTCTCATGTTCACCTGCATGTGTGTATGCGTAGGCATGCCACCAGCGACCACATTTGGAACAGCAAGAAGGTGCGATTGTGTTGTGGATCTTGGCAACCCTTGTGCATGTGTGTGTGTGCGTGCGGACATAGCTTGTTGCTTTCGTAGTGACCCCCTGTTTGCTTCTCTCAATCTCATTCGTCGCCCACGGCTTTGTGTGTGTGTGTGTGTGTGTGTGTGTGTGTGTGTGTGTGTGTGTGTGCGTGTCTGTGTGTGTGTGTCTGTGTGTGTGTGTGTGTGTGTTGCCACTTGCTGCTGCTGCTGCTGCTGCTGTGCAGACGTGCGTTTCGGAAATACGAACGGACGACCACACACAGCTGCAAATCGCAACTCACAACCCGGACATCCCGAGCTCACACATTGACAACCAGGTAACCAACACCAAGTGCATGGGGTTATGTTGGTGTGGGCTGTGTGCCTGTGCATGTATGGTTGTGCACAGTGCAGGGTATCCATGCGCTGGTGTCCGTCCTTTGCAGTTGCCACCCACTCAAACTCATGCACATGACTTGCACACATGATGTGCACACATGATGTGCACACATGATGTGCACACACACATGATACACACACACACACACACACACACACACACCAGGTTGCGATCAAGGTTGTTGAGGCGGGCAGGCCCGGTGATGCAGTGATGTGGTGCGGTGTGGGCGAATTGGCAGACGGCTGAGACAGCGGACACCCTTGCTCTGCGTTAACATAATTGCACGTCGTTGTGCGGCTTGCTTGCGTGCATGATAATAGTGTCGGTTGAATAAAGAACAGTGGTGATCACTGTTGCATCTGCAGGCAATTGGTCGATAGTGATGTTTGAGGGACAGCAAGGTGACCTGAAGGTGGCGAGAGTGCTCAAACTGAAGTGAAAGACATGCATGTATGGATGCATATGGATGCTGCTACCGTGGCTCTTTACTCCGTTTATTCATTCACGTCGGTAACGAAACAACTGCTGCTGATGCTCATGGCCATGGTCGCGGCAGTACCATTCAAAACAGGAAGGGGGCTGTTTGCTTGTTGGTGTGTGTGTGTGTGTGTGTGTGTGTGTGTGTGTGTTGTGTGTTGTGTGTGTGTGTGTGCGTGTGTGTGTTATTGTGGTGGGCGATAGACGAGGCAGTCAATGGTGCCCTTTGGTGCTGTCAGATACAACATCTTCACCACGTCGTCCACAGGCATGCGCCCAACAGGCACACCTGCAAACACAAAGAGGATAGTGGTGGTGGTGATGGACATACAGGTGAGACAAGCAGCAGAGGAATACACCAGTCCGCCCACGTCACATGGTGCAATGCATTAGCTTCTTACCGTTGAGCTGCACAAAGCGATCGCCAACTTGCAGGCCGGGACAGAGCGAGTTGTCCGTGACAGATGCCACGACGCAGTGGGTGTGCTTGCCTTCAAACACCTCCTCCATGTCAAAGCCAAACCCAGAGGAGGGGCTGCGTGTAATCTGAACACACCACGTTGCAGCACATACGATGCGGCAGGGCAAGGGGAAGGTTTCAGTGAGCACGTTGCTGTGGCAGAAATGAAGCAGCGCAACACGACATAGCACTGACACAACACGACACTACACAGCACAAACGCAACACAAACGCAACACAAACACAGCGCAGCAGACGAGACGGGGGTGGCGCTGGTCACGACCTTGACGGTGATGGTGTGTGGCCCAGTCGGTTCTTCGTGATCGCGTTCGCGCTGAAACGCCAGCATCCATCCTCGCTTCTCCTCTGCCGTCTTTGCGTAAAGCGTGTACCACTTGTTCTGCAACGCAACGCAACGCAACGCAACGCGCACGCACACGTGGCAGCAGGGTGACACGCGTGAGCAACGTCACTGCTACCATACCACCAATGCACACAAACACCACTTGCGAGCGATACTGAACACCGCTTCCTTCCTTCAAGGAAAGGGGTTGGGGTTGGGGTCATCCAACACACACACACACACACACACACACACACACACACACACACACACACACACACACACACACACACACACACACACACACACACACACACACACCTTCTTAACGTTGTTGATCTCCCATGCGTGGTTCAGCATCATACCGTCATGTTTCATTGCGCCATCAGGCAAATCTAAAGACACGCACGCAGTTGCATATGAGAACGAGTAACGGGAGCTCACAAGCACACACACACACACACACACACGCACACACACGCACACGCACACACACACGCGCAATGCTTGTGGTAGTTGCGCAGCTAGCTCACCTCGAATGTGGACATCACGCAGGTCGAGTGTTCCTTTGACCTCCAGCTTGCCTTTCTCGCGCTTGCAATACACTGAGCAATGGTTCAGAGTACACAGTGAAGTTCATGTTGTGCATGTGCACGCGTGTGCGTGAGAAACGGCACTGCATCGGTTCACACAACCAATCAAAGTTGCAACTCAGCACAGAAACAGGCAAGACCAACAAGAGACTGACAGACACGAGCACAGACCCAACCCCAACCTGACAAGCACTGTCACACACACACACACACACACACACACACACACACACACACACACATACACACACACACACAAACAACAACAAGTACACGTCAGCAGCCTTGTGTTCACGCACCAAGGAGGCGATCGAAGAGGAAGAACCAGCGGCATTGCGCTTTGCCCTTTGAAATCTTCATCAGCTGGCCATGATGCAACAGCACAAGCCGACTCGACTGACCGGATGAGCCTGGCAACAAAAACAAGTCACACGTGTGCGCACAATAAGCAGCAGCGCACCATGTAATCGCGATCAACAACGCTGACAAACAACGACAGCAGACAACACCCACTTCATCGCTATCACATCAGCGCAATAACAGCCATCAGCACAACAAGCACCATCACCGTCACCATCATCAGCATCACGGAAACGCACTCTTCCACGATTTGAGCTGTGGCCGCAGGTGCAAGAGGTCGTCAGCGAGGCGTGCAACGGGGTCCTTCGTCAGCAGCATGCGCGATTCAAGCGTGTTGCGCCGCCTGCGTGCTGTCGATACAGACAGCGTGCGGTGGTTCCGTCCTCCCTGTGCATCTCCGCTGATAGTTGGTCCGTTTGCTCCCAATCGCACAAAGCCTTGCACACATAAACGACAAGGCAGCCAAGCAGTGACGCGCGTGTGTGTGTGTATTCAGTGTGAGGGGAGGTAAACGATAGAACGCACGCGAGTGCGATCTGAACACGCTTGTTGATGGATGTGAACACATGCCCGATGATGCTTACTTCCACGCCGCGGAATGTCGTGTGCCGTGGCCGTCTGTCCACCACACACAGTGTGAAAACAAGATGATGAGTGAGCTAGCGAGGGGACAAGGCATGTGAAGCAGGCAAGCGCCACCACATGGCTCGTGAAAGCTAAACCAACAGCAACAACAGCCACAAGAACAACAACAGTAGCAGAAAGAGCAATAGCAACAAGGCCAACAATGCTACTCCCGTCCACTCCGTACATGTGATCGTCGTTTCTTGGAAGCGGCGCGGGCCGTGTTGCCGCCAGGTGCACCTGCAGCGATTGCAAAAAAACTCGTCACTTTCCGTTCTTGGTGCTATCTCAACATGGGGGAAACACGCCGCGTACACATGTACACATACAATGCACACTGCACGCAAGCACGCATGCACACACACAACATGCACAAACATACACCCCCGCACACCCTGTACCTGGTGGGGGCGGAGCCTTCCTGAGGGGATGGCTGCCTGCTGCTTGCTGTTGGTGCTGCTGTTGAGGTTGTGCCGGTGGCGGCTGTTGTGGCGCCGATTGAGGCGATGAGGCCGTTGGTGGCGGTGCTGGCGGTGCGTGTGGTGGAGCGCGATGGTGGTGTGGATGGTGCGCAATTCCAAGCCGTTGCTGCTGCTGCTGCGGTCGTGGTACCTCAACACCTGCCTGCTGGAGCTGATGGTGGTGATGTGGGAGTTCGTCGCCGGGGCGTGGCCCCACGTGGCGTGGCGGGCGTTTGGCTGCTGCCTGTGGCGGATTGTGTGGGCGGTGCGGCACGTGTTGTCCAGTCGGGTGGTGTGCAGGAGCAGGCGGCGTGGCAGGGTGCTGCGGTGGCGGTGGCGGCGGTGGCGTGAAGATGGGCACTTGATCCGTTGGTGGTGGTGGCATTGGCAGATCCACAGCGCCGCCGTCTTCGGCCAGGGGCGGCGGCGGTGGAAGTGAGATGGATGCAAGCTGCTCCTGCTGCTCGTGTGATTGATGTGCTGCATTGATGCCATCACCCCGTTGTGCCGGTGGTGGCGGCGGCGGCAGCGAGTCCAAGTCCTCATCAGCACTCGATTGATCTGCTGGTGGCGGCGGCGGTGGAGGAATGTTGATAATGGATGTAGGGGTCGGCGCCACGGTGGGCGTGGCTGTTGGCGCTGTCCCCACTGTGCCTGCAGGCATCGTAACCGAGGATGATGCGGGTGTGTCGCTGTCGCCGGCTTGTCGAACATCCGCTCCAACCTCTTTTTGTGCCCGCCCAGCCAGCTTTGCTCTCAGCTCAGCCATGGGATCACCCACACGCGCCACAGTTTCCTGCCGATGCTGCTGTGGCGCTGTTGTCCGGGGTGTGGTGGTCGTTTCCGGACCAACACCATCATCAGCCGGTGGCGGTGGCGGCGGCAGCGAGATGTCTACTGCAGCCTGCTGACTTAAAGTGGTTGTTGACGATGGTTGCGGTGGTGGTGGAGGCACATGAAACGTCATCTCTGGTTGTTGTTGTTGGTGTTGTTGTTGTTGGTGTTGTTGCTGTTGGTGTTGTTGTTGTTGGTGTTGTTGTTGTTGGTGTTGTTGTTGGTGTTGTTGTTGTTGTTGTTGTTGTTGTTGTTGTTGTTGCGAGTCGTCTGCATCAATCACGGATTCGGGCACCTCGTGGTTGAACTGTTTCACGACGCCCGTGGATGTGCGCGACCTAAACTCGCCTTGCTGTGCTTGCCCGTGCGCCGAAGGCATTGTCGCCGCAGCTGCGTCTGTGTCAATGTCACCATGTGCATCGTTCATGTCAATTCCAAGAGTGTAGTGGTACGACGCCGTGTTGAGGGGCCGCGTGGTTTCTCGCTTGGGCAGCTGTGGCGGCACGTCACCACCCTGTTGTTCAAGAACAGCATCGATGCTTCCACCAGTGCTGCCATCCCCGGACTGTCGACTTGGGTCCCCGCTTCCATCTGCCGCGGACCCGCGTTGCGATGCCCCGATTCGCTCCACATACGTGCTGGGGAAATGCCCAATGCGCCCTGTCCGCGTGGTACAACCGCGCGTGTGATGAGTTGGGACGTGTTTGGGTTACTGCGATCGGTTGAATAGCGGGAGAGAGCAGAGCAAGACAGAACGTGACGCTCGAACATGAAACACACACACACACACACGCACACGCACACACACACGCGCGCGCACGATCAAAATGCATACGCACACTCGTGCGCCTACACACAGAGCGCAGCGCAGCAAATCAGAGAGATGTGGCATGTGGTCTTGTGGTGCAAGGTGTTCAACGCACCGTCAAGCACGCCTGTCCACCAGTCCTTGGATGCAGGCCCAGACACCACACGGACAACGTCGCCCTGTTGGAACTCTAGCTCATCTGCCGCCTCGGCAGTAAACGCATACAGCGCACGTGCAAAGAAGGACTCCTGCAGGACAACCAACAATCATGGATGCACAGCCACACGCATAAGGAGAAAGTAACGTGAGCATGTGATGCGCAGTCAAGAAAAGGCAGTCCATGTTCACGCCCGTACCCACACGCACGCATACACCACTGCTATCGGGTTGCAAGGCCACAGTCGCACCTCCAGCGAGGCTTCTTTGTCCACTGTTTCGACCTCTGCAGCTGAAGGTTGCAGCTGTGCCTGGGAAGCGTGGGCGTCGTCAGTCGTGCTGACTGGAAAAGTTTGAGTTGGATAAAACGCCTCGTCATCGCCATCATCGCTGTCGTCCGTGTCGTCGTCATCCTCATCATACGTGCGTTGTTGTTGTTGTTGTTGTTGTTGTTGTTGTTGTTGTTGTTGTTGTTGTTGTTGTTGTTGCTGCTGCTGTTGTTCATCTTGCGAAGGAGGAGGGGGCGCGGGAAGGTCAATAGTCACGGCATTCGTGCCTGCAGGCAACGCAACTGGTTGTGGCACATGTCCATTTGGCTGAGAGTGCAATTGCGCCGGCTGATGTTCACCAGTTGAATTTGTGACAACTGTGCCGTTCGCTACCCCCTTGTCCTGCACAGCAGCTTGCGGGAGAGCCTGACTCTGCGGTGTTTCACGGTGTGGTCGGTCCTCTTGGCCGGGTTCCACCTGCTCTTCTTCCTGCTGCTGGTGCTGCTGCTGGTGCTGTTGCGGCTGGCTTTGGGCTTCTTGCTGTGCGTGGTGGTTCGCGTGCTGTTGCCCCACTTCATCATCACCACCACCACCACCACCACCACCACCACAGTCGGCGTCATCACCCTCATCACCGTCATCACCACCCTCGCTACCTTCACCAACACCGCCGCCGCCATCATCGCCCTGTTTCCCCTTAAAGTGCTGCTGTTTTGGTTGTCGCTGCTCCGCGTCCTTTGCCTGTTCGTTCTTCTCCTCATTTTGGTGTTTCAAGGGCTTCAGCCACGACGAGGGCACCCAGTGCGGCGAGCTATCGTAGGTCACGAGCGACCACCCGCTCGAGCTTGCTTCGCTCACGTGCACCTTTGCACCGGCCGGCAGGACGGCACCTGCCGTGGTCGTGTACTCCGCCAACAGCTGATGGTCTGCAGCCACCATTTCCCTTTCCCCCCCAAACACAAACAAGAGATATGAGCAAGGAGGAGGTTCGTTGGGTTGCTTGGTGTTGTTTTGGTTGTATTCCTGTTTATGTCTTGCAGCAAATTTCTACAACCTCGGCTTGTCGGTGCTTCTTGGCATTTTGGTTGCTTGCTGTGGGTGTTGTTGCGGCTGGCCCATGGCTCATGATGACGACGGATGCTCATGCACACAAGAAGACATGGTGTTACATTACTGTCGCGCGTTTCTTGGCCCTCACCCCAACCTGGCGCACTTCCACACAGCCCCCCTCCCCAACTGGGCGCTGCACTTGCTCAACTCTGTGGTGTCTGTTCACTTGGCAATATTTCTACAGCGGGTCAGCCAAACAAAAGCAAGAATAACGATACAGCACCACGCGTGTATGTGCACGTGTGTGTGTGTGTGAGCAAGCAAGGACCCGTGCGAGAGTGCAAAGTAACATGGTGCACACGCTGGGAGAAAAGAAGACGCACAATAGCAAAAACACGGCCGGGCGTTGTATCAACACAAATGCAAGCAACGCAAGCAATGCAAGCAACGCAAGCAACGCCACAGCCACAACCGCACACATATACACACACACGCAATGGTTGGCATGGCGCCAAACACAACGCAGACACATGATAACAACGCCCAGTGTCACTCGTTCATGGAGTTTGCAATTGCAATGGATGCGCGCGTGAACGCCTTTGGATCCAGTCGCAGTACTTCGTCCACAAGCGCCGTCTTCCACGCCCGCAGGCCCCGAATCTCCGTCGTCAGGTCACCAACTCTGCAGTGGAGGGGGGAGGGGAGAGGGGAGAGGCATGGAGAAGCGCAGACACAACGAATATCCGCGGGGGGGGGGAGGGGGGAATGAGCTGCAATAGGTGCAGCGCGGCACGTGCATGCAAGCAAACACACACATAGACACAGACACACGCACGCACACAGACACAGACACAAACACACAGACACACACACTCACGCACACGCACACAGACACAGACACACACACACACACACACACACACACATCACGCACCTGTCGCGAAGGGAGGAGATTTGGTCGCGGTGTTCGCGTGCGTCTGCTTGCATCAGTTCAAGCATCTTGTGTAATCGCGCATTCTCCACCTCCAACTCCTCCTTCTCTTCCAACAGCGTCTGCGAGGAACCAGAGGTGCCGCTCAGCTCCCGCACCTGCTGCTCCAAGCTCTCCACCTGCCGCTGGTGGTCTTCCCTCAGCCTCTGCAGCTTCTCTTCCAGCATTGCCTTCTCAGTTACATGTCGCTGCTCGTTGGCCTCAGCCAACACCATCTGCTGCCTCAGCTCCTGCACCTCCTTCTGCCGCGCCTTGCCCCCGCCGCCAAACAGCGGTTTGCGCTTGCGACCGCCACCGCTATCGCCGCTCACGGCGCTGCTGATGGTTGTGCCGCTGGTTGTCGGCGCCATGCCGTCCACACTCCTCGCCGACTGCGATTGCTGCTGCTGCTGCTGCTGCTGCTGCTGCTGTCGTCGCAGCAGTGCACCTGTGGCGTTGGTGGCGGTGTTGGACGAGCCAGAGGCACCGCTGGTGATGGACGAGGAGTCCAGGTTTCCTTTGGACGCGCGCGGCGAGGAGCGAACGCTGGCTGTGCCTGCCGTGTGGGCAACGCGGCCCTGCTCGTAGGGCAGCAGCTGGAACCAGCCCATGATGGTGGTGGTCGATGCAATCTCCAGCAGCGAGAAGGACATGGCGCCCAGGCACTCGTTGGTGCGCATGCGGGAGTGGTCCCACACCGTCACCTGCAGCCGCGTGTCGTCATCAAGGGCAACCCCTGTTCCGATCGGCATCTTGAAGCTCTGCTGAAACACGGGGTTGTGCGTTCGCCGCTGCACGCGCGTCTTGTGCTTGCTGGAGCGCACGTTTTTGCCGCGCTCGCTCAAGTACAGCTTCACATACGTGTCCTTTCCTGCTAGGCTGCGGCCCTCCCGCACGGTCACATGCACATGCCCGGCCACGCGCCCTTTGCCCTTGTTGCCGCCACCGCGCGTGCTGCCCGCAGCGGTGGCGTCCGGCGAGGTGGCGCTGGACGATGGCTCGTAGTGGATGTTGAGGCTCAGCTCCCCCTCCACTGTCGACGCAGACACGACGTTTGCCGACGCCACGGAGACGAGCGAGGTGAGCGACCCTGTCCGGCGAAGACCAGACGCGAGGGACGGCCCACTCGCATGATCACGCCCATTACCGCCAGCACCACCATCAGCAGCATCCCCGCTGCTGTTTGCGTCTCCCTTGTGCGCGGTGCCCGTGCTTGTATCAGCACTGTCAGTCACTGTAACGGCAGGTTGTGCTGTCGTTGTCCTTGCGTTTGCGGCGGCTACGGTTGCTCCTGGTGCCGCTTGTGCTGGTGTCGGTGCACTAGCGCCATCCTCCATATCGTGGGAGGTGGTAGCTGCCTTAGACTTCGCCACAGCATCCCTGTCTGCTGGGGGTGTCGGCTCTCGATCGGTTGCGTCTGCACGACGTGTGCTAGTGTCGCGTATGTTGTTGCTGCTGGCGTTGGTGCTTGTGCTGGTGTCTGTGGTCGCCGCATTCTGGGTACCCGTGCTTGCTGTGGAGGTGGCATCGGCGCTGTTGTTGTTGTTGTTGTTGTTGTTGTTGTTGTTGTTGTTGTTGTTGTTGTTGTTGTTGTTGTTGTTGTTGTTGTTGTTGTTGTTGTTGTTGTTGTTGTTGTTGTCCTCGTCGTCTTCACGCACGTGCGTGGTGCGGCCTGTGTGGTACGGCAACAGCCGAAACCACCCGCGCGTCGTGCCGTCCCTACAGCGGGGAAGACAAGGGTGGTGTGTGAGTGTGTGAGCGTGAGAGAGAGAGAGAGAGAGAGAGAGAGAGAGAGAGAGAGAGAGAGAGAGAGAGAGAGAGAGAGAGAGAGAGAGAGTGTGTGTGTGAGTGTGTGTGTGCGTGTGTGTGTGTGTGTGTGTGTACCAACATGAGCGATTCAAACTGTGCGGATCTGTCACAATTCAGCCATGCAGGTGAACCAAAAGGACTGCAACCAAACAGAGCCAACACCAGGTACACTCAGCAGACACATCCTCCCTCCCCCCCCCCCCAATGAAGCTGACCGGATGAGGTCCGAGATGGAGAAGGAGAAGCTCCCTGTGCACTCGTTGCTGCGCAGGCGGGCTCGGTCCCACACCGCCAGCTGCAGCCGGTGGTTCGCTGGGTGCTGCACTGCGCTCTCAGGCAGCTCAATCACCGCCTTGGACTTGGGAAGCGTGTGGGAATCGCGCGCACCGGCGTCGCTCTTCCATTTTGTCTTTTTGATGTCGCTGCCGCCTTTGCTCACGTACGCCTTCAAGTACGGGCGTGATGCAATCAGCGACCGACTGGACAGCACGTCCACCACGACCTGCCGCCGCCTGCCTCGCTGCGGGGCGGCTGCCGTAATGCACAGCTGCACAGTCCCGCGCACAAGCCCGCTCGACACAATCTGGTCTGGGCGGAGCGACACGAGGGACGTGAGCGAATCCGATCGTTGTAAGCCCTTGCCCTCATTCGGTGCTGTGTCTTGCTGGCGCCGGTTCGCTGCTGTGGCGCTGGCACTGCTGCTGCTGCTGGTGGTGGTGTGAGGGGTCTCTGGCTGTGGGTGTATTGGTGGTGGGGAAGGCTGCGTTCGCGCCTCACCAGGGGTGTCGCCATGGCTGGCGGCGGATGGCTTGCCCTCTTGTGCTCGCACGATGGGCTGTTTCTCCAAACCCTTTGCCTCTGCTTTGTGCGTCACTTCTGCAGCAGCAGCAGACTCATCAGCTCTGCTTGCCACCCTCTTTTCCTCCTCGTCCTTTCCCATACCGCTTCCCTTCTCTTTGTTCTCCTCCCCCTCCTTCACCTTCGCTTCTTCTTCCTCATCCATTGCATCCACGTCAATCTCGTCATCATCATCGTCGTCGTCACCATCGCGGCTGGTGGTGTCGCCTTGTTTACGATCAAGCACCAGCACGGGCGCCCTGGCATCATATTCGGGTGCTGTTGACGTTGCTGATGCTGCTACGGGCCTGGTAGGAAGCGATGGTTGCTGTTTGGCAGGTTGCTGCCGCAGCTGTTGTTGTTGCTTCTGGTTCTGCTGTTGGCCTGGTGGCACGGGCAGCTTTGCTTGTCTGCGCCGTGTGGATCCATTGCGGCTGCCGTCACCGGTCGTGATGGGGGACGCCCGCTGCGGTGGTGTTGGCAACGTGGGCGCCGTGGTGCTCGTGGACGTGGTTGTAGGGGTAGATCTTGAAGCACTTGCATCTTGCTGCTGCTGTTCCGTCTGCTGTTGTTGTTCCTTCTGCTGCTGTTGCTGCTGGGTGGCTCCGTTTGCACCTGAAGTGGATGAGGGCAAGGTGGCTGTAGCATCAGATGCCGAGGCTGCTGAATCGTTGTCTTGCTCCTGCTTGTGCTCCTGTCTGGTGCTGTCGTCGGGCGTGCGGGAGGGCACGGGCTGTGCAAACCGCGCAAAGGAGCGAGCCATGGTTTCAAAGTCCTCCTCGTCCTCCTTCTTGCCGCCAGATGCGTCATCGGAGCGACCGTCCTTTGTGCCGGATGTGCCCAAGGGTGATGCACCGCTCTTGCCTTTCTTGCGGCCGCTGCTGCGGAACACGCCCTTCAGCCTGAGCTTGCTGCCGCCGCCGTGCTTGGTTGGCGTCGTGCCGGTGCTGGAGGCTGTGCTGGCGAGGCTGCTCTGCGATGGGTGGCGGGCGAGGTTGGAGGTGCGCACGAGCTCCTCCGGTCGAAGCGTGTCCTCTTCACCAAGAAACTCGTTGAAGGTGCGGCCGTCCGCCTCCGGCTGCAGCTGCCACCAGCCAAAGAGGCGGTCCTTGCCCACGAGCTCGTCCAGGCCGAAGGAGAACCCACCGACGCACTCGTTCGAGCCGAGGCGGGCGTGGTCCCACACGGTGATTTGCAGGCGGTTGTTAGCATCAAACTTGGTGCCCTTCTTGAGGTAGTAGACGAAGCGCTCCTCAAACAAGGGGCGCCCTTGCTTCTTGTGTGGCTTGGTCTTCTGCTTGGTGCCGCGCACGTCCTTCCCGTCCTTGCTGAGGTACAGCTTGACGTATGGCTCGTTGATGACGAGGCCAAGCCCTTCCTTGACAAGGATGTGCAGGGTGCCCTCGGTCTTCTCCTTTGGCTTGGGCTTCTCGAAGCGCACGTCGAGCTTGAGCGCCCCGCGTGCGTCGCGCGTGCCGTGCTTGCGATCCCCAGCCATGGACGCCACCGACGCCAGCGACGTCATGCTATCCGATCGCCGCAAGAAGTACGTGTGCCGGTCCCCCATCGTGTCGGTCAATGTGTGTGTGTTGTGGTTGGGTGTCTTGTTGCTCGTTGAAGCCGGTGTGCAGTTTATGGTGTTTGGACCGGTCCCCCCTCATTCTGATCACGACGCGAGCAGTGGTTCGCAAGCGACACGTACGGTGCGATGGCGTCGGTGCAACAGGAGCCCCAGAAGATGGGAGGCGGCAGCGCCCGCACGAGCAGCTGCCCAGATGTGATCGACTGCTTGTGTGCAGACACGCAGTCCATCACCACTGCCATGGCAGATTCCATTGTGGACGCAGTCCCGCCACACCACAACATTATTGGTGCGTGTGTGAGTGCAGTGTAGTGCCAGTGTGTGTCGGTGTGAGTTTGTGAGTGAATGTGTTGTGTCAATGTGTGAGCATGTGTGTCGGTGTGTGAATGTGTGAATGTGTGAATGTGTGTGTGTGTGTGAGTGTGTGTGTGTGTGTGAGTGAGTGCGGATGTGTTAATGTTTTTGTTAGTGTGTGCGGATGTATATGAGTGAGTGCTAGTGTGTGAAAGTGCCACTCTATGTTGTTGCCTCAACCGTTGTTCCCACCCAACACACGCGCACACACATATGGCAGAGCATCAAGAGTCTGTGGACATGGTGGTCTTCATCTGCCGCGTGCTCCACCGCGCATCGCCAGAGGTGCGTACGTGAAACGATTGGGAGGGCGTGCATGCGTCGTTGGGTGTGAAATCAAATCCTGAACAACAAATGGTCTACCAAATACAAGCACCGATCTCACGCTCAATGCTGGCGTTTGCACCCAACGCTCTCATGTACAGAAACACCAACACGTGGCTCTGTATCTGCAAGACGTCATGCAGGACATCTGCATGTCCTCCGGCACAGGTACAGACAGCGCGTGTGTGTGCGTGTGTGGGAGTATGTGACGCGTGTGTATCTGAGTGTATGTGTTGTTGTGTGTTGTTGTGTGCCATAGCCTCATTTGACAATCGTCGCTGTTTGGGTCACGTCAGGGGCGCCAGTGCAGCGCACGGTGAAGCGGATCTGCGGCGCTGTCCTGAGTGCCGTACACGAGGAAGGCCTTCAAGCGAAGCGGGATATGTATTCCGTCATGTCCACGCCGCTGCACACCGCCATGCAGCGCGTTCGCAGCTTTTCCCACCACCTCACGTCCATGCCTCCATCAGATGGTGCTCTGCTCTGCTCTGCTCTGCTTGCGTGCTGTGTGCGTGCGTGCTGTGTGTGTGTGCGTGTGTGTGTGTGCTTGTGTATGTATGCGTGTGCGTGTGTGTGCGTGTGTGTGTGTGCGTGTGTGTGTGTGCGTGTGTGCTGTGCCGTGCTCGTCTCTGCTTGCGTGCTTGCGTGCTGTGTGTGTGTGTGTTGTACCGTGCTCTTCTCTGCTTGCGTGCATGTGTGCTCTCTCTCCCGCTCTCTCTCTCTCTCTCTCTCTCTCTCTCTCTCTCTCTCTCTCTCTCCCGCTCTGTGTCAGATGGGAACATCTGCCCGGTAGCTCTGACCAGCGTGCTCAAACACACCTCACATGACCACGTGTGCTGCTTCTGCTGCAGTTGTTGTTCTGAAGCAAGACCTGGACGTGATCATGGGCATATGTGACGCCCTGGCCGATGCAAACCAACTCAAACCGGTTCGTTGTCCTCCAATGTGGCTCATATTGGGTGCTGCGTGGCCCGCCGCTGGAGCGAAATGCTCCGGGTTTGTTGGTGTTCTGCGTGCTGGTCGCGGTTGATGTCTGCACATGTGTCGCCTGTCACTTCGTCTCACCTCCCACAAACATTTCCTGAAATACTTGCGTGCATGTGTGCATGTGCGTATTTGGGGTTGCGCGTTTGTGCGTACGTACGTGCTGCTGTGCATGTATGCGTGGATGTGTACATATGTGTGTGTGTGCGTGTTTAGGAGTTGCAAGCGCATTTCCGGGAGCTCTATCTTGACAGCGAGCTCGTGCACCAGCTGCCACACGTCGTGCGTGACCTGGCTGCAGCAGAGAGCAAGGTATCGGCAACTGTGCTGGTGCACCACCTTGCATGATGTGTACTCTGTTGTCTTGAATGATATCACTCTGCAAACAATGCACACACGCCTGTTTACTTTCTCACACGTTTGTTTGCGCTCATTTGTGCATTTGCACACTTTCTTGCACACGTGTGTGTTGTGTGTGTTGTGTGTGTTGTGTGTGTGTTGTGTGTGTTGTGTGTGTTGTGTGTGTGTGTGTGTTGTGTTGTGTGTGTGTGTGTTGTGTTGTGTGTGTGTGTGTGTGCGCGCGCTCCAGGTTGGGCGGGCGTGTGCTGCACAGCTGTACGCGTCCATCCTCTCTGCGCTTCTCTCCGTCTTTGCACTCGTTGAGGCCGAAAACGCATTTGTGCACACCAGCAACATGGAGGATGACAGGTGCTGCCACGCCAGCGGTTGTTGGTTGCGTGGTTACGCGCTTGCAATTATGCGTGTTTTGGGCATGGGGCATGGTGCTGGCAAACCACAACGCACTCAACACACACCTTTTGATACTCACTTCATGCACACACACACACACACCCAAACACACACACACACACACACACACACACACACACACACACACATACTCACACCACACACACACACACACACAACACGAATGCGCGTGTTCAGATGTGCGCACTTGTTTGGGCTGGTGTCGCAGTGGCACGAGGATTTGAGCCGGACGCTGTTTGAGGACCAGCCAGCAGACACAGGTCAGCGAGCGGTGGAGGAGGGGGTGGTGGTAGTGTGGTGGTGATGTGATGATGAGCGTGCCATTGTGGTGCGTGAACGTGTGCGCACGCACACGTGCATGCTAGCACAACATACCGAAACCAGCAAAGCGTCACCCTCACCCCAATTCACGTCCATTTCACACGTCTTTGGTGCATATGTGTGTGTGTGTGTGTTCTCAGCGTCGCCGCACGACCCCGTGTGGGTGATTCGGCAGGTGTCGCTGCTGGTGCAGCTGCTCGCCCTCTGCGCACAGACCGACGACGACATCATCCCACACGTGGTGCGCTGGCATGCGATGTTGCACCCCGTCCTCATCACCCCTGCACACGCCCCAACTCACATCACCCACCGTGCCCGTCTCTCACTCTTTGTTTGTTTTGTTTCTCGAGCTTGCCCAACGTCGTGCGCTGCCGCTCAGAGGCACACCTACGCTCACATCATGAAAAACACGCATCATCAAACACACACCACCCCTCCTCCCACATGCTCAAATTCCCACGACCCCTCTTCGCCCGCGGCTCCAGCGCAAGTGGTGCGTGCTGCTGTCTGAGGGAGACGGCATCAAGCACTTCCTGCCGCTGTATCAGGCGTATGCAAAGGCGCTCACCACCGCTGCCATCCGCTTCAGCAGCCAGCACAGGCCCGCACTCGACGTGAGCACACCACGCTCGCTTGGTCGTGTCAATGCACTTGTGTTGAGGGTTTTTTTTTTTTTTTGGGGGGGGGGGGTTGTGTTGAGGTGTTTGTGCAGTGCGTCGGTTTGTTTTGTGTGATTTTTCTCTTTGCATGTGTGTGCATGCAAGTGTGTGTGTGTGCACATATGCTTTCCCGTTCCTTCTGTTCATCATGCCACGTCATTTGTTGCAGGCGCTCAAGCGGTGCTTGACGGCCCCAAGTCCCCTGCTCTCGTTTCAAGCAAAGGTGCGCGTGGTTTGTGTCTTGTGTGCAAGCGTCATTTGCGTCGAATGTCATTCATCTATGGGTACAGATGTGCTGATGTCGACACTGCGCGCGCGCTCTCTCTCTCACTCACACACACACACAAACACCGCAGATGCTGAAGAAGACATCAGATGCAATATATGCACCGCACGACGCAAGCGAACTCAAGACGACCGTGCTGTCCTCCTGCGTTCGGTACACACACACACACACACACACACACACACACACACACACACACACACACACACACACACACACACACACACACACACACACACGCACGCACGCACGCAAGCACACACACGCACGCACGCAAGCACACACGCACGCACATGTGCTCATGCTTCAATCCTAACGTACTGGCCAGTGGCTCCAAGCTACCCCCCCCCCACAATGCCCTCACCACCACCACCGCCACCACCACCACCGTCATCTGTTGCATCATCACCGCGTGCTGCACATGTCCGACAGGGTGCTGAAGGCGATGGCAGCAGACAAGCCAGACGCCCTCTCCGCTTTTGTCTCGTCCATCAACCTCAGCGTGTCCCATCCAAGTGCGTCACACACACACATACACCCGCACAAACACCCGCAAACACGCACACACACACATACACAGACACTACTGCTGTTATCTGCTGCTACGCACGAATCACTCACACGCCACCCATGCCTGACGTTCCTCCCATGTGCCTTCTTCCCTTCTTCCCACTGTCTGCACCTGCGCGCCTTTCGTTGTGTTCAGGTGTGCACATGCGGGACGCGATTGTGTACAATTCTGTTGAGCTGCTGGCGCGCATTGCAGAGGAGACCGCTGCCGGCGATCCAACAACCGTCTCCCTCATCATCGCCATGCTCTACCAGGTGCACACAGCCACCGCCTCGCTTGCTCGCTGGGCATTGCGGTCATTGTACCATGTCATGCGTTGCTGCCTCGCCCTCGTGTGCCCCAGTCACGCGTCTCACCCTTCACGTTCCCATCACCAATGCGGCTGCTCCGCCACGACGACGACGACGACGATGACGACGACGACGATGACCACCGCCACCACCACCACCTACCACTCTCACCATCGTCACTTAACCCCCTTCCCTCTCCGCTCCACCGCCGCTGCCGCCGCGACTGCGCGCGCGCGTGTGTACAGCGGCTCGGGTTTCCTGCTTCGATCGTGGATGTGTCGATTGTCGAGCGTCTTGGCGGCCTCGCCGTCATCAGCACCACCAACATCTTCGATTCCGTCATGGACATGATGTTCCAGGTCCGCCCGCACACCGCGTGCCATGTGCTCCCGTGGCCCACGTGGAGGTGGTTGAAGTGTCGTGTGTGTTATTTGTTGTGTGTATTGTAGGAGGTGGTTGGTTGTGTTCATCGTTGATGTGTTTCTTTATTGTTTTGCCGTCAGGCAAATCCGTGCTTCTTGTTGCCTGTGCGAGGCATATTGACGTTGACTTGTCTTGGTCATTGTTGTGCTTGCGCTCACATATGCGTTTTCAACCATTATTCAGCTGTATTTGAAAGTGGCGGCACCAAAGTACGATCCAGACGCGGATTCGCAGGAGCAGGCGCAGTTTGAGTTTATCGGCGAAAACGTCATATCTACAGTGGGTTACAGCTGCGTTTGCTGTGATGGTGGGGCTGACTGGCCTCGTGTTGTGGTTGTACTGGTTTGTGGTGCCGGCTGGAGGTGTACGGCAGAGCCATACATTTCTTGGTATCCCTTCTTTCACACAGCGCTCACTCGACACACACACACACACACATCTCTCACATCGCATGGCATGTCATCAGAGCATGAGTGCGATGGCGGGACATCCAGACTGCCTGCAGGCAAGCACGACGTTCCTGGAGAAGATGCTTGTCCTCTTCAACAGACTCGGTACTGCACATGGGATCCCATCATGGCGTGGAACATCGAGCACACACACATGCATACATACATACATACACACATACATACATACATACATACATACATACATACATACATACACACATACATACATACATACATACATACATACATACATACATACACACACACATACACACATACATACATACATACATACATACATACATACATACATACATACATACATACATACATACATACATACATACATACATACATACATACATACATACATACATACATACACACATACATACATACATACATACATACATACATACATACATACATACATACATACATACATACATACATACATACATACATACATACATACATACATACATACATACATACATACATACATACATACATACATACATACATACATACATACATACATACATACATACATACATACATACATACATACATACATACATACATACATACACACTCACTCACACGCGCTCACACACGCACGCGCGCGCATGCACGCACACACACACACACACACACACACACACATACTCACGCACATGCAACCGCTGCGCCTGCTGTGCAGCCATCAGCGTGATTGGGCGTGGCCTAGCTGTTGCGTGGGCGGCGCAGGACGTATTCACACCGCTCCTGCCAACAATCGCCGCTTTCACAAAGGCAACACTTGCGCCCCTCACCTTCCAGCAGCGCGCTGCTGTCATCTCACAGCACGTTGTGGACTCGTTTAGAGGTGAGCTGGAAGCACCGCCCAGTTGCTTCGTGTGCGATTGCAGTTGCGTGTGTGCGTGTGTGCGTGTGTGCGTGTGTGCGTGTGTGCGTGTGTACATTATTTGGACGTGTTGATGGATGGCGGTGTCACGCGTGTGCGCTTGTGATGAAGTGTGTGCATATGCTCTCACACCCTCCCATGTTTTGTGATCGTGCTCGCAGCGTTTTGGTTCCACGTGACCATGCTCCGCCTGTTTGATCTCACGGGCGACGAGAACGAGGTGTCGGCATTGTTCCAGGCTGCTTGCATGCACCAAAATGAGGCCTTGCCTGCTTGCCTTCTTGCTGTTACCCGTGTCACGTCCGCGTGTGCTCATTGCGATGTCTGCTCACCGCCCATGCGTGCCCATGTACACAACATGCACATACATGCACATACCTGCACATACATCCACATTCATCAAAACCCCGCCTTCCTGGTTCTGTTGTCAGGGCGCCAAGAAAGCGCTGCGGGACATTGCGCTGTACAGCCCCGTGCTTGTTGACGAGCGAGCAAAGCACTACCTCAAGGCCCAACTCATGTCCAGTGTAGAGTACATCGAGGATAAGGTTGATGCCAAGGAGCTTAGTAGCCTTCAGTCCCGCCTGCACAAGTCGCTCTCGTGGCATTCCCTGCACACACCCGATGTGCACCGCCTGGAGTTTGCAACCACCCTCTACGCTCTCGCCGTGTTTGAAGTCGAGGTGCGTGTAAATGTGTATGAATGTGTGTGTGAATGTGTATGAATGTGTGTGAATGAGAGAGAGAGTGTGTGTGTGTGCGTGCGTGTTTGTGGGTGGGTGCGCGTGCCTGCAAGTGTGCATGCGTGTTTGTGAATGTGCGCTGTGTGTGAGTGCACGGATTGTGCAGTTTTGAACTGAAGCGTTTCTCTTAACTGGACCTGTCACACTTGTCTGCTTTTGTCGATTTTTCTTTTTCATCGGCCGACATGTGCTCACGATGATGGCGCATTCAAAATGCACTCTGCAGTCGCGGCGCCTGTGCAGGAGGGGCGGCAACTTCTTTGAAACGTTTCATTACATCGAAGACAAAGGACAGCACCACGAGTCACGCCTCCCAGCCATGCGCATCCTCCTTGACGTCCTCTTCCAGCAGCATGTCGAGTACCTTGCATCCCAGCGCAGGTGTGTATTGTCACGTGTGGACATGTGCGACTGTGTGTGTGTGAATTTGTGTGCGTGTGTGAATTTATGAATGTCTTTGTGCACGTGTGTTCATTGCACGTGTGTTTCATGTGCAGTGTGTTTCACGTACACGTGTTTGTGTGTTGAGCATGTTTGCGTCATGTTCATTTCATTGCGAGGTGCATAGTGTCTGTTCTTAACCCCATCTCTTACGTCTCTCACTTATCAACAACTCCAAACACACCACCTTTTCCTCTCTCCCTTTCACCGCCAGCGGCCGCGAGAAGCTGAAGATTCTTGAAGACACGGCCATTTTTCTCATCATCAAGTTCAACCACCGCGTCAAGATCGTCAAGCAGATGGCAGACCAGTTCCTCTCCCTCCTCACAGAGAGGTCACACCCGCGAGAAGAGAGAGAGGGGGGGGGGATGAGTCCACGTGTGTGTTGTGTGTGCATTCCTGCGCGTTTGAGTATGTGTGCGTGCGTGTGTGTTTATGTGTGTGTGCGTGCGTGTATGTGTGTGTGTGCGTGCGTGTATGTGCGTGCGTGCGTGCGTGTATGTGTGTGTGTGTGTGATAAGTTGGGCTCCATCCCTGGCATGCTCGCTTCCTCACAGCCCGACACAAACACATCACAAACACATCACAACCTCACGCACACCAACTCAACCTCTGCCCTGACAGGTTCCCGCATCTGCTGTGGAGCATGCGCGTGATTGTGGAAATGTTGAATTTTCTTCAAGCCATTCACGAAACGTCGATGCGGCCCGATGCTCCGATTGGGCAGCAGGTCACCGTCACCATCTCCTGCCCGCCATACACACACGTCATGCCATCCACACAGGAGACAAGGTAATGTGGGCTCGTAAACGGCCTGATGTTGTTGTTGTGCTTGTCATGCTGGCATGGCACGTGCTCTGTCAATACTTTGCGCGTCTGTGTGCTGAAATGCATGATGGATACCCCACTGCTGCATGTGTACTCACCACGTGACCATGCCAATGCTGCCTGCATCCTCCCTCCGGTGACTGCCCTGTGGCGTACGATGCGCGTGACATCAGGACGGAGATTGTGAAGGACTTTGTGTCGCACTGCTCCGCCATTCTGCAGCAGGCGCTGTCACACTCGGCAGTTGATGCCCTCGCCACCATCCAGCAATACATTTCACAGCTCCAGCGCACCGCCACCAAGAAGGACCACGCAGGACTGCAGATGGCGCTCCAAGCCATCGCCGCCTATCCTTCGGACATGCCGTCCTCTTTCCTCTCCACGTTTGGGCCCTCCCTCGCCCTCCAAAACCATTACTCAGGTGCACAGCCTGTTGTGCGTGATGTGCGCGTGTTGTGCGCGTGTACTTGTTTGTGTGCGTGTGCGTGTTTGAGTGCTGTGCATGCTGTGCGCATGTGCTGTGCAACATGAATCTTCTCTCGAAGCGACTGCACTTACCAAAGGCCACTGGGAATGCGGTGCAGGCCAGCTGCAGGGTGTGCTGCTTGCTGCCTCTGTGACGGTGCACGGCAGCAAAGGCACTGCGCGCGATATTGCCCGTGCAGACACCACGCCAATGGTCGACCCCGTCAAGTCCGACGAGGACTCCTACGGTGTGTTCATACGTGTGTGCGTACGTATGTGTATGTGTGTGATCGTATGTGTGTTTACGTGGTTGTGTGCGTGTGTGTGTTTTCGTGGTTTTGTGCGTGTGTGTGTGTGTTTTCGTGTTTGTGATTACGGGTCGCTTTATTGTTGTGCAACATGCCTCTCATGCATGTGCTACAACGCTTTCTCACCATCCACTTATCCACTCACCCATCCACTCACCCATCTCACATACACTCTTTCGCGTTCAACCAGCCCGGAGCACGCGGCTGGAGACGCCGAGCGTGGTAGTCGGCCTGTCGTCCTGGGCCGAGCGGGTGCTGGGCCGCCTCAAGTACATCAGCGCCCGCCTCTTCGCGGATAAGGACGATGCATCGCAGGAGCAGCAGGTGCGCACACTCCGTGTTTTGTGTGTGTGTGTGTGCGTGTGTGTGCGCGCGCGCGCACTGCGTGTTTTGTGTGTGTGTGTGTGTGCGTGTGTGTGTGTGCGTGTGTGTGCGCGCGCGTGTTTTGTGTGTGTGTGTGCGTGTGTGTGTGTGTGTGCGTGTGTGTGTAGCAATGTGGTTGACTTTCAGTGAATTTGTGCATGTGTTGAGTGACTCATGGTTTTGCGTGCTGCTGCTGGTGATTGCTGGATGTGCACGTGGTGTGTGTGTGTGTGTGTGCAGGATGCGTGGATGGAGCAGCTGCAAGAGGCCATGTACCAAGCAACCGCTATCCTTGGTGAGAGTTGCTGCTCCCATTGCTGTGTCTCTGCACAAGCTGCTCCTGTTTGTCCTCCACGTCTCTCTGCCTCTCACGTCATGCACTCTACATGTGCGCGTGTGCATGCTCACCTCTTCCTCTCTCTCTCTCTCTCTCTCTCTCTCTCTCTTGCTCTGCGCGCGTGTGTTGGTGCGTGTATGCGTGCGTCATTATCTTTCCCTCCGCGCCTGCAGTGTTCCGGCCGCCCGGCTGGGATCCGCTGTCCCACCGCACGTCAACGCTCTCTGCCACGATGATCGACGTTCTGGTGTGGGCGCCGGTCAAGCTCAACTCTGTTCCGGCCATGACAACGGCGGTGGCGTGCTGGTCCTGGCTCGTCTCCTCCCGTCCCGAGATGGAAACACGCATTGTACGAGGCCTTGATCTTGGCTTGAGACGCACACAGTTTGCGGCGTGTGTGTGTTTGTGTTTGCGGCGTGTGTGTGCTTATTTGTGTGTGTGCATGCGTGAACATGAAGCATGGAGGAAGTGGTGTGGTTTCAACTGCCTGAAGAGTTTGCATGCGAATGCATTTACCTTCCTCATGGGTGCGTCTCTCCTTCTCTCCCATTTCGGCCCTGCAGCTGTGTGCGATGGAAGCGGCGTGGTCGTGGACGATTGAGAATCGCGTTGGCCTCTTCAGCTCCGACCACGGCCATTCCCAGGGCCGCGAAGAGGTGCACTCGTGCGTGCATGTGTATGTTTGTGAGTGTGTGCGTGTGTGCGTGTGTGAGTGTGTGAGTGTGTGCGTGTGTGCGTGTGTGCGTGTGTGCGTATGTGAGTGCGTGTGTATGCGTGCGCTTGTGTGCGCGTGTGCGTGTGCACTTGTTTTTTGTTTGTTTTGTTGTCAGTAGTTTTGTTTGTTGCAGTGCCTGCAGCCGTTCGTAAACAAGAGTTCATGCCTTCGTGGATCGCGCTTTGCTCATGTGCGCCTGTGTTTTTTATTCCCCCTTGTTTGTTTTGTGTGCTTGCAGGTGTTTGAAGCGGACATGCGGGCCGATCCCGCCCACGAACAGCCCGTTGGGCTCTGGCTGTCCTTCCTCATTGTACGCAATCCACGCGCACGCGTGCATGCGCTGCTTGCTGGTGGCGGTCTGGCTTCTCGTCCAACATTTTGGTGGACCTACGCGACCGTGCATTCAACTGCGCAATTGTGTACCCAACTGTGCAATTGTGCACTCAACTGTGCATTCGCCTACCATTATCACTCACACACTCACACACACACACACACACACACACACACACACACACACACATACACACACACACACAGGAGCGGTTCACGGTGATTGCGCCCCGCAGCCTGTCCCAATCGCAGCTCATCACGTCGATGGTCGTTGCTGCTCTCCGCGCCGCCCCCTCCGTCTGTCGCCAGGCCTCGTTCTGGTACGCGTTGCACTGCATTGCACCCCACTGCACCCCACTGCATTGTGTTCCATCCCCGCACCATGGTGGTTGGCGTGGCTGTAGTTGGCCTGGTTAGCGGTTGTGTGGGTTACGTGCCTTCTCGTGGAATTGAATCTACGTGTTGTCACTGCTCATTGCTCACCACCAACGCACACCACCACCGCCAACGCACACCACCGCCACCACCAACACACACCACCGCCACCACTAACGCACACCACCGCCGCCACATTGACGCTGTCAGGGAATCGCGGTGGAAGCTGTATCGGCTGGCGCTCACCATCCTGCACATGCGCACGCAGCTCAACGACAACGTGCAAGTGGTGTTGCGCTCCCAGCTGTACAGCAGCGTGCTGGACTATTTCTCCGTCCCGCCACGCTGGACAACAACCTCCCTCGCCATCAAGGTGACGCGGGCATGCTTTGCGTTGCCTGTATGCGTCGGATTTGTTGTATGCGTCGTTGTGTGTGTGTGTGTGTCGTTGTGTGTTTTATGCGCACTTATATCACTCACAGCGCCCCCTCCCCCCTCCTTTCCTCCACATCCCTCTTGCCTTCCTCACACGACCATCATCACCACGACCATCACGGCTGCCATGGCCACGACCATCACGGCTGCCATGGCCACCACCACCAGGCGATGGAGGCGATGCTGGCGTGCTATTCGTGCATGCAGGCAGACCGGGTGCGCTGCAAAGCGATGGACCAGGTGCTAGCAGAGCACATGCCCCGGCGCCTGCGCCGTGCGGGCCATTCCTCCGACCCGCGGTTTTCGCGGCGGTGTGACTTGTGTCTGCTGCTGCTGCGACACGAGATTGAGCGCTTCCTTGCCTGGTACCACACGGGCGCAACGCAGGTACACACGTGTGGTGGACGTGTTTGGGGATGGAGAGCAGAGACCCCTCACCGCCATGATGTTGCTGCGGGAAGGAGGAGGAGCGTAGATGCTTTGTTTGTTTGTTTGTTCGTGTGTTTGTGTGTGTGTGCGTGTGTGTGTGTGTGAGTGTGTGAGTGTGTGAGTGTGTGTGTGAGTGAGTGTGCGTGTGTTTCGAATGCGGATGTATTGCGTTGCCTTCTTGCCATTGGGTATGCTCACTGACGATACCATGTTGACTCCGACGACAGACAACACCAATCACTGGCGAGGAAGAGGTGAAAAAATACGCCAAGCCCTCGCCCAGCCCTTCAGAGCGCACGTATGTGGCCGCTTGCAGTCTACATTCACCTGCCGCACACCACATGTGCAATTCGCCTGCCTTCCCTACACCTGTGATTGCACACGCTGATTTGCCTGTTTCTCTTTATCTCACGGCCACCGTGGAACCTCGACAACCACCACTCGACTCGCCCAACACAACACCAAACACTAATCTTCAGGTGGAAGGAGTATATTGGGCTCGCATGGCAAACAAACCCAGCAATTGTCATCCAGATTGGTGCGCAACCAGCAGTGTATGCGTGTGATGCGTGTGTGCTGCATACATGAGAATGTACCACTGCACCCCTGGGACGATGTTTGTCTTCTTTTGTTTCAGCTGCGTGGACAAGCGTCATCCAACCCAACGTCGCTCGACCCACTCACCTCCAACAACACATCCCCCCACGCCAAACCGTGCAATTTACGCTGTGTCTGTTGCGCCCGCAGCCCACCGGTACTTTGGCGTCGAGTGCGTGCAGAAGGAAACAGCGCGCCGTGTCAAAGCAAACCCAGCAGCCGTCAGCCACATCGTCAGTCCCATCGCGTGAACCAATCAGCAAAGAGACGGGCAGCGAGAGAGAGAGAGAGAGAGAGAGAGTGTGTGTGTGTGTGTGTGTGTGTGTGTGTGTGTGTGTGGTGTGTGTGTGTGTGTGCGTGTGTGCGTGTGTGTGTTTGTGCGTGTGTTTTTGCGTGTATGCGTGTGTATGGGTGATAGTGCATGTTTGTTTGGGGTGTGTGGTTGTGTATGTTTCCATTCATCTTTGCTGTTTGTGTCTGCGTGGCCCCATGCTGCGCTTGGTCCTACCTCTGACCAACATCTTTGGTCTTACCTCGTCTTACCTCCCTTAAATTGCATATCGCAGCCGGAAGCGATTCACTACCTGATCACGAAGCAGAATGTCGCCGACAACTGCCATGAACTGCATCACGTCCTGTCCTGGAGCACCGTCTCCCCCATCACAGGTACATACCACCACCACCACCACCATGATCGTGATCGTGATCGTGATCGTAACGTTGATGGTGTCAGTTGCGCCTGCACCTGCTTGTTTCGGTTTTCGGCATCTGGTACACCAACTCTGCCCACTGTCTTCGTCTTGCTTACCACCACTGCGCCCGCGTACGTGCGTGCATGCATTCCTGTAATGTTGCATCACACCAGCTCTTCGCTTCCTGCGCGAGTACCCAGGCCACGTCATCATCAGCCAGGTGTGCATTCATGCACACACACACATACATACATACACACACACACACAGATGCTGTTTGTTCGACGTTGCGCTGTGTGAACCATCTTTTCTTTGGTGGTGTGTTGCTGCTGCTTACGTATTGTTTTCCTTCACCACTTCTCTTCCCCTGCGCTCACTTTACCCAAATTGCCACCATCATCACATTCAGTACTGCCTGAAAGCGCTGAGTCACTTCAGGCCCGATGTTATTCTCTTCTACATCCCGCAGCTCGTGCAGGTTTGTTGTGTGACGCAGTGCTGTGGTAGTGTGGCGGTGTGGCGGTGTGATGACATTGAGCAATACCCTTTGCTGCTTGCTTTCTTGAACCGCCGTGTCTGCTCAATTCACCCCCTTACATGCGACATGCGTCACACCATCTTCCACCACAATCTCCATCGCCACCGCCGCCGCCTGCACGCGTGTGTGTCTTTAGGCGCTGCGGTACGACGATCGGGGCTACATCCAGCAGTACATGCTGCGCGCAGCAGCGGACTCACAGCTCCTTGCACACCAGATGATCTGGAACATGGCCACCAACATGTACACGTACGTGAACAAGGGGCGGTCTGTGTGTGTGTGTGTGTATGTGTGTGTGTGTGTGTGTGTGTGTGTGTGTGTGTGTGTGTGACAGCTCCTCGCGAAGTTCGAACGATATCAACAACACCAGCAACAACCACCACCATCACCACCATCACCATCAGGGATGAGGACGGGGAGCACCGTGACGAACAGCTGGGCGACATTTTGGAGCTGCTGATGGGCGGGATCAAGGCGAACCTGCACGACGGCGCCTTGCGCTTCTACGAGCGCGAGTTTTCGTTTTTTGAGCAGATTACAGGCATCTCCGGCCGCATCCGCGACAAGGAGCTCGGCCCCGAGCGAAAGGTGGGCAACACGACGGTGGTCGTGGTGTTTGTTGATAATGGTAGTGGCGGTGGTCGTGGTGGAAGCAAAGGAGTAGACAAGCGATAGAGCCGGGGACGTGCATTCATACATTGCTCAGCCACAGAAATGCTTTCAACTGCGCGCCATCACCCTCATCACCTTCAACCTCCTGCATTGCTCCACGCAACACCTCCCGACCGCCAACTCCAAATCGTGGCAGGCGGCGTGCTTGAAGGAGTTGGCGAAGGTGAAGTTGCAACCGGGCTGCTACCTTCCATCGTCACCGTTTGGAATGATAACGGCCATCGACTACAGCTCAGGCACCCCTATGCAGGTCTGCGCACGGCGTCATACACGTGTATGCATGTGTTGTGTTGTGTGGCAACGGTGGGCGTGCATATGCCCATGTGTTTTGTGTCTGCGGATGTTACAGCTGGCCCTGCACTCAACACAACATCACACACACACACACACACACACACTGAAACGCAATCGAACGCAAACACACACACACACACACTCACTCACGTCGGACCATGCGTGCATGCGTGCGAGTGCAGAGTGCGGCCAAGGCGCCATATCTTGCGCGGTTCAAAGTTGCGCAGTGCACTCTGGAGGAGATTGTGGAGATTGGCTCGAGCGAGGAGGAGGTGGACCTGAGCGAGCGCGACAGCAAGTGGCTCGCATGCATCTTCAAGGTCGGCGATGATGTGCGACAGGACATGCTCGCCCTGCAGATTATCCAGCTCATGAAGAACATTTTCGCCGAAGTTGGCCTGGACGTTGCTCTCTTCCCGTATCGGTGAGCCGCACACAGCACGTGCGCTAAGCTCTGTGGTCGTGTACGAGTTTGCGCGTGTGTGATTGTGTGTGCGTGTGATTGTGTGTGCGTGTGATTGTGTGTGATTGTGTTTTTGAACATTTGCACGGGTAGATGTGTCATGTGGCAGTACAGCAGTACAGTCGTGGTGGTGCGTTCACCCCTTCTCCGCTCGCAACCTCACCCTCGCTTCATCAATGACACCGGTCGCCACACGTCACATCAACCACCACCGACCACAACCAGCGTGGTTGCGACGGGGCCAGGCTCCGGCGTGATTGAATGCGTGGAGAATGCGACCTCCCGTGACCAGCTGGGCCGGCAGACGAACATGTCGCTGTACGACTACTTCCTGAAGGTGTATGGGGATGAGGACACGCGGGAGTTCCAGGCAGCGCGACTCAACTTCATCAAGAGCATGGCCGCGTACTCGCTCGTCGGGTTTCTCCTGCAGATCAAGGACCGGCACAACGGAAACATCATGGTGAACAAGCAGGGGCACATCATCCACATTGACTTTGGGTTTATGTTTGAGTCGTCGCCTGGTGGGAACATTGGGTTTGAACCAGACATGAAGCTGACAAAGGAGATGGTGCTCATCATGGGAGGCAGCCAGGCCGCAGAGCCATTCAGGTGCACGTGATGATGCTGTTGTGATGCTGTGGTGGCGTGATGATGGACTGATGCTAATCGCTTGCACTTGTTTATGTTTATGGTCGTGGTGCTGTTCGCTATTGTTGATTTGGTGGTATATCCAGTACGTATCACACACACACACACACACACACACACACACACCACACACACACACACACTGCCTCACCGCTGCCGCCGTTGTGCCAACTGCAGGTGGTTTGTGGACATGTGCATCCGCTGCTACCTTGCCGTTCGCCCCTACCACGACCAGATTGTCGGCCTCGTTGCCCTCATGCTCGACACGGGACTGCCCTGTTTCCGCACAGACCGCATTCTCGAGAGCCTCAGGTGTGTGTGTGTGTATGTGTGTGCGTGTATGTGTGTGCTGGTGTGTGTGCGGGTGTGTATGTGTGTGTGTATGTGTGTGTATGTATGTATTTTTGTATGTATGTATGTATGTATGTATGTATGTATGTATGTATGTATGTATGTATGTATGTATGTATGTATGTATGTATGTATGTATGTATGTATGTATGTATGTATGTATGTATGTATGTATGTATGTATGTATGTATGTATGTATGTATGTATGTATGTATGTATGTATGTATGTGTAAATTTGTGTGTGTGCCTATCTGTCCGCCCATGTCGCAACGCCCTGTTTCTGTTTTGTGTTGCTCTGCTGTGCCTTTCTCTCCTGTCAACATGGAGTGCGTGCTCACCCTCTCCCTCGCCCGCACACCCTCACCCCTTCCACCTTTCTCCATCGTGTGCGTGTGTCTCGCGAAAAAGGAACCGGTTCCAGCCAAACAAGACGGATGCTGAGGCAGCGGCATTCATGCGCCATCGCATCAACTCGTGCTACCTGAACACGCGCACAGAACTCTACGACAAGCTGCAGAACGTGCAGAATGCCATTGCACACTAGGCGAGCCGTGATGGTGGTGGTGGTGGTGGTGGTGGTGGTGGTGGTGGTCAATGCGTGGTGCATGTGCTCGCTCCGCGTGTCGTGCTTGCAATGTTGGGTGGTGTTGGGGTTTGGTCACATCAATACACGTTCTCACAGGCAAGCATCAATTACACGCTGTTTACTGGGACACACACGCACACACGCACACCCACATGCACACACACACACATGCGCTGCTCGACGTCGTGTCGCCTGCGGTACAGCCGAAGGGACAAACAAAAAGGTCCAAGGAAGGCAGAGGGAGACAATATGCGACACAAATGGTTCGCTTCCAACACGTACACACACACATACTACTTTCCAACGCGGGCAAGGGAGGAGTCGGTCTTTGGGTCGGCAGTGACGTTTTGGGCAGCGGTGATGAGCTCGTTGACGCGTGTTTGCAGATCACGAAGATCAGACACGTGCAGCAGCCGAAGCACCTTTGCTGCATCGTCCAACGCAGCATCTACCCAGCGCAGGCATGGCGGGAACCGAGGGATGTGTGTGAATGTGTGCGTTGGGGGAGAATGTAAAGGTGATTGAAGCGAACACAACCGCATGCATTGCATGCACCGCCTCCTTTTCCTGTTAATCAAAGAAGTGCAGTCTTCCATCCACCTCCTGTCACCAGCCAACACCACCTCCTGTCACCAGCAGCAATTAACACCACCTCCTGTATCGACATTATGCTCACCGCCAGTTGAGAATCCCAGCGGCATTTCCTCAAGCGTGTGCCGATCAACAACCTGTCACGACCACCAGCAGCAACGTTGACGAGCGTGGTGAGAACTGCCGTCGCTCACATCGTGGGCGGCGGTTGCATGCCGAAAGCGGGAACAACTCAGACCAACACACACACATACACACACACACACACACACACACACACACACACACACGCACACACACACACACACGCACACACACTGTGCACTGCTATGTACCTCCTGCTGGGCGTCGCGTGCCGCTGTGATGGCCTCTGGTGAAAACTTGCGGGCAACGCGCTTGGCAACGGCCTGCAGAGGACCGCAGCGTCGCCAGCCGCACGTGGACATCAGCATGCACGAGCAGTTGTGAACGTGCCAGAGAGTGTGAATGAGTGCATGACTGAGAGGGTACGAGCGAGAATGAAGGAGTTTGAGTGTGCTTGTCGTAGCGACAGCGGGATTCACACACACACACACACACACCCACACATACACACACACGCGCACACATACACACACACACACACGCACACACACGCACACACACACACACACGTGTACATGTGCACACGAGCGCATCACCAGCGTACCCTCCACATGAGATTGTCATCCTCAACCAACGGAAGCTGCAGCAGTTTGGCAAGCTCCTTCAGTGCTGCCCGCGCCTCATGCGAATGCACTGGGGTGGCAACAAGGGACAACAAGTGGCAGGCGTGAGGTGTACAAAGACACAGAGACAGCGCAATTGAGACGCACGCCTGAATGTGGGACGTACGCCTGAATGTGGTCACACAAAACAGTCGCACGCATGCACAAACATGCACAAGCATTCACACGCAGTCACACACACACACACACACACACACACACGTACACACACACACACACACACACACACACACACACACACCGTCAATGCCAACGGACGCCTTGCCGCGTGCCATGGCGCTCTCAGAGTTGAATGTGTCCGCTGGTGGTGGCGTGGGAAGACAAGCAAGGCCAAACGTGTGTGAGTGCTTGCAAGGGAGAACACCAGACAAGCGACATGATCGCAAGTCTGGCATGGCACAAGTGTAGTGTGGTCCTTTGTGTCCATCGCGCACACAAGGCACACGGTGCGTGCAACTGTACCGTTGTCGTGATAGTCGAGAGCAACAGCACGCCCGAGCAGCCAGTCCACGACGAGGTAGCGGTGCGAGTCATTTCCGCGCCAGTCCTTGCTTGCAAAGGGACATTCCATGTCCTCCAGGTACTGCATACACCGCATGCACGAACAAGAAGCAGTCAATAGGGAGTGGCAACCGCAAGTGGCAAAGTTGTGGCCCACGAGCACGAAGCGCATGGCGGTGACGCAGCTGCCCACCTTCTGAAAAGTGTCTGACCACGTGTCGCTCTGGATGTCCCTTAGAGGGCCACGCTCCTCCATCTTGTAGAAGCGGATGGTGGAATCCTCCAGCGCCGACACCAAGTTACGGAACGCTCCCTCATCTACACAACAGCGTGCATGAAGGTTGTGTGTGTGTGTGTGTTTGTTTAGGGGGGAGGGTTGATTGAGATGCGGGTGCACGCGTCGCCCTCTTGTCTATCACAAGCACACACACACACACACACACACACACACACACACACACAGTCTCTCTCTCTCTCTCTCGCTTTCTCACTCAGTCTCATCGCACATACTGCATATCCACACACCCACATCGCCTTACCTTGGTGGTCGAACGACTGAGCAAGAGGGTGCCGTAACGCCGCCAGCCGCCGCTGCACACTCGAGGTTGTCGACATTTCGCCAATATCTTCCCGTAAAAGGCACAACTTGGCAACACAAAAGCACACAAGCAGAACAAGTGGTGTGTGTGTGTGTGTGTGTGTGTGTGTGTGTGTGTGTGTGTGTGTGTGTGTGTGTGTGTGTGTGTGTGTGTGTGTGTGTGTGTGTGTGTGTGTGTGTGTGTGTGTGTGTGTGTGTGTGTGTGTGTTTGCGATGCGTGCGAACTTCGCACATGCTTGCTTGCTGGCTCGCTTGTTCAGTGTTTGTCTTGCTTGTTTGTGTGGCTGTTCGTGTTTGCATCGTTGAGCCGACACATTCACACTTCAACTTACACGCACACACACACACACGCACACATGCATACTCAGGCATGACGGACACGCGGTTTCGCGGGTTTGGGCGATACCCTAAACCAGCGCTGGCGCCGCTGCCCGTTACTGGTGCAGACAATCCTCAGGGCGTGTTTGACCCGACAGCAAGCGCCAACACCGCAACGGCAACAAGTCCCAACACAGCCGCCAACACGAGAACGACGGTGCTGCAAGACACAACAGCAGCTCCGGCAGCACGCAAGGGCATCGCGGGGTCGAAGAACAAATGGAAGGCCGCAGAGACAAAGGACCGCGCGTCGCGGTTCGCACGCGTCACAAAGATGCTGCAGGACAGCATGGGCCGAGAGCGCAAGGAGAAGATCCGCCGGAAGCGGCTCGCCATGCAGATGATCGGCTTGCGCAGCTTCAAGGCCGATGGCAGTAGCCCAGATGAACAGAAACAGCACAGCGACAAGCCGCGTGACAGCGCCGATGGCACGGCACCCGAAAGAGGAGGTTCTGACAGCAATAAGGGCGGTAGCAGTGGAGACAGCAAGGACAGCACAACCGGAGAAGCCGTGAAGCCCCGCGTGATCATGTTCTCGCTTCCCGATAACCATCGCAGCGCCTCTGGGCGGTCATCCGCGCCCACCTCAGCTACAAACCACCGACGCCACGCTGCGCGATATCGCAGCACCAGCGGTTCCGCCCACAGCGGCGGTGTGCGTGGCAGCCGCCCATCTTCCATGCCGCCTGTTCATGCGCAGGCGCCCAAATCGTTGTGGAAAGGCGGTGGCGCGATGGGCCCAAGCGACCGCGAAGCAGAGGAGGCGCAGCTCATCCTGGACGCCAACGTCATCTTCGGCATCTGCGGTCTTGTGGACCGGACGTCCGACGTCGCCGCCGTCCGCCTGACCGACCTCGATCTCGTGGACGCGCGCGCACACGAGTTGGCGCAGTTCAGCCAGCTGCAACGGGTGGAGGCCGCAGAGAACAGGCTGCAGCTGCACCACTTTGCGGCGTTGCCGCGCCTGCGTGTGCTGGAACTGCAGTCCAACCACCTGCGCACGCTGCAGCCACAGCCCATCGGGGCATTTGAGCACTTGCAGGTGCTGAGCCTTGCCCACAACCGCTTGAAGGGCGACTGCATCTCTGTGCTGGCGGCGTTTCCCAACCTCAGATCCCTGGACCTGAGCAACAACCACATCTCCTCCTTCCCCGTGCACGTGGTGCCTGTCATCGCGCCCCCCAGGAAAAGCAACAAGGCAGCGGTGAAGCAGCGCAACAAAGCTATGGCGGACAAGGGTGGGAACAGTGCTAACGATGGTGGCAGTAGTCGTGGTGGTGGTGGTGGTGGTGGTGGTGGTGGTGGTGGTGGTGGTGGTGGTGGTGGTGGTGGTGTGGAAGGGGAGCAAAGGGTGGTGGGGAAGAGCAGAAACGAGGGCGTGGATGGAAAGGCTAACAATGGTGACGCGAGAGAAGCTGAAGCCACTGGCGACGACGGTGATGGGAAACAGGGGCGGCGGCGTAAAGGAGGAGAAGATGAAGAAGAAGAAGTTGATGATGATGCTGATGATGCTGATGATGCAACAAGCCATGGTGGTGGTGGAACTGAAACCACCGGTGCAGACAGTAGTACGGCAAATGGCAGCAAGCAGAAGGCTAACGCCAACAACAACAACGCCAACAACAACGCCAACGCCAACAACAACGCCAACAACAACAACAACAACAACAACAACAACAACAACAACAACAACAACAACAACAACAACAACAACAACAACAACAACAACAACAACAACAACAACAACAACAACGACGACGACGACGACGACGACGATGGCATCAACAGCGGTGGTGACGAGGGTGTAGGTGACGGTGTTCGCCGTGACGCTGATGCATCCGCCAGCGCCCATTCGGGGATGACCCCGTTCCCGGCGCTGACGACGCTCATCCTGAGCTTCAACCCCATCTCTGGTGGTGCCGTGTTCGCCGGCTGTGCGGGCCTGCCCTCTCTCCGCTTCCTTGATCTCAGCAACACCCGCGTGTCAGCCATCCCCACGCTGCTGCCGGAAGGATGGGAGGACACACGCGCGCACGCAATGCTGGACGTGCTGCCGTTCCCGTCGCTGCGGCTGCTGGCACTCGACGCGACGCGTGTCAAGACGGCGTCGGACCTGACCAAGTGTGAGAGCTGGCCGGTCCTGGAGGAGGTGCATGTTGCAGGTACGCATCGCACGCGCAGTGGTCGTGGTTGTAATCGTGGTCGTGGTTGTGGTCGTGGTTGTGGTCGTGGTCGTGGTTTGGCGCAAGTGTTTGTCTGTGGCTGTCACTTTGATTTGCGCACACCTTGTCTGCGCACACGTGTGTGTGTGTGTGTGTCGTTCACAAATGACCACCACACACTCTCACTACCCACACACGCACACACACACGCACACACACGCACACACACACGCACACTGTCGTTCACGCTGTGTTGACTTCATTGCAGACACGCCGTTTGCACGAACACATACGCAGCTGCCGGCAGAGGTGCGCGATGCCCTGTGCGTGCGCCGCGGCATTGAGATTATGACCAAGTCCGAGCCGCCGCCGAAGCCAACACTCGACTTCACATCGCAGCCCTTCAAGCACGTGGATGTGTCGCTGCCGGACATCCGCGTTGCTCAGCCAGCGCTGACAGCGGCACCGCCCCCTCCCGTCGTGCGCACACCAAAACTACCACCACTCGCACCGCCAGCACCAGCCGCGGGCGCAACCACCACAACTACAACAACCGCTGCTGCTGCTGCTGTCACGGGTGACGAGAGTGGTGCAATTCGCAGTGGGAGCAGAAGACAGAAGCAGCGCAAGAAGGGAGAGGCTGAGGTTGTGGCTGTGCATGTTGATGATCATGACGATGGCGGGCGTGACAAGGAGGAGGAGGAGGAGGATGGCAGGCATGGTGATGATGATGGTGATGATGGTGATGATGGTGATGATGATGATGGTGACGACGACCACACGGGCGTGTTTCTGACAGCACTTGCCGGTGTTTACGGCGAAGAGGAAGAAGAAGAGGAAGAAGAAGAGGAGGAGGAGGAGCCACATGCTAATGGCAGTCATGAGGACGATGTGTCCGCGTCGAGCGGCGGCGTTGTTGCTCTGCACGACAAAGCCCAGGGTGGCGGGCGCAAACTGGCCAAGGTCACGCTCAAACGGGACGAGATCCGTGTGCCCATGTGTCCGTTTCAAGGGAAGCAGCAGTCGTTCCGCCAGTACCAGCGCCGCCTCAACCGCCCAAAACCCTCCCAGCGCACGCGTGCAAAGGCCGAGGCGAGCCGACTTGCGGGCCGGGGTGGCGGTGCTCGTGGCGGTCGTGTGAAGACAGCTGCAGCCGCCAAAGACAGGACACCAGGTCCGCTTTGCCGTGGTGACGCGCATCTGCATGTGTGCATGCATGCGTGTGTCTGATAGTATGTGTGTGGCTGTGTGTGTGTGTGGCTGTGTCTGTGTCTGAGTATGAGTGTGTGTGTGTGTGTGTGGCTGTGGCTTTGTGTGTGTGTGTGTGTGTGTGTGTGTGTGTGTGTGTGTGTGTGTGTGTGTGGCTGTGTGTCTGTGTCTGAGTGTGTGCCAGTCGATCAAGTCATGTGTTTGTGTGCCAGCGTTAAGGGCTTGCTGGGTACGCGGTGTTGTCCATGTGCTTTCCTTTTTTCACGTTGTGGTGTGGTTGTTCTGATGCTAACAGGCGAAATTCTGCAGCTGCTGGCTGACCTGCGACCAGAGGAGGACTCTGTTGTCCTTGAAGATAGGCTGCCCAAACGCGCTCCGGTCGACATTTTGAAATATCGCGGCTACGAAGAGCTCTTCGTTGATGACGACGATGATGATCACGTGGAGGAGGATCAGGAGCTCAAAACACGTGCGTCAAACACATGCATTCGCTCGCAGTTTTGCCCGTGTGTATGTGTGTGTGTTGTGTGTCTTTGTGTGTCTTTGTGTGTGCGTATGTGTGAAAGGCTTTGTGTGTGTGTGTGTGTGTGTGTGTGTGTGTGTGTGTGTGTGTGTGTGTGTGTGTGCATATGTGCGTGCGTGCGTGTATCCCTATCTGCCTGGTTGTCAGTCTGGTTGCGTTTGTGTTTGGGACCCGATTGCAAGTGAACAAACACTGCGCTAAACCTTGATTTCGCCTCTGTTCATGCATCTCCTCTTCAACTTCAATTGCGTTTAGAATGGGAAGCGGATGCGCCGTCCGGAATTCGTTTAGCCGTGAAGGCGCTGCAGTATGCGCTCGATCACCCGCTCAAACCAACGCTGCAAGCTGGTCGCCGCTCCCAACAGACAACCACACGCACACATGCAGGGAGGAACAACAAGGTTCGTGTGTGTGTATGTGCGTGTGCGTGTGTGCGTGTGTGCGTGTGTGTGTATGTGTGTGCGTGTGTGCGTGTGCGCGCGTGTAAAAAACTTCAAAAATGTGTAATGTATGTGTTATAGGACGGTACTCAGTAGTTAATAATGGTCTATAGTGTATTGCGTGAAAA